CTCCATGATGAAGTATATATCAAGAAAATGTTACTATATCATGGCAAACAACTATTTGGTAAGTCAGCTGATAATTCATCTGAAAATTGCTCAAACAGTACTTGGTATAATGCTGATAAATCTTAATTGGTTGGGGAGGTCCAAATTTTCTTACAGGATTGATTCCAATTTCAAAATTAACACATCAGCCTTTTTATTTGAACAAATTAAGTTAATAGTTCAGCCATCACCTCTGTACCAGCTGATGTAAAGGCTATTATATGTGATGGCAACCAAGTAAATCAAGCTTTTTTTAAATTATATCCCACACTCCCTGAAAAACCTTAGTTAACTGACGATAATAAACATTTGCTTTTTGATTATGTTCAGCTGTTGAAAAATATTTACAATTTGTGGCTTACAGAAAAGACAGGAGAACTAATCTTTGATGATAATGGAGTAAAACGAGTAGCAAAATTGGCACATCTTAAACAGTTATATTGTTTTGAACCTGAAAGGCTAGTTAAACTTTCAGATTTAAATGAAATTTCTATTGCTCTAAAGCCCATAGAAAAGACAACAGGTTTCTACTTCCTCAGATTGTTTTCTGAAAAACATAATGCACTTCTCACTCAGTTTGGAAAAAGTACAGATAAAATGATACTGTCATCTTTATAAACAAAGGTTTTGACATGATGGAAAATTTTAATAAATGTTAAGACCCTTCAAATTGGTAAGCTACACAATGAACCTCTACAAAATATAATATGGAGATATGATTTCATCATATCTCCATATTACAGCCAACATGATTTTATCATTGAGTTTGGTCAAATGGCTCTCAATATGGCTGATAGTCAAGATAATCATAAAACCAAGCACACTGCTACTATCATATACCATACTTGCAATGGAATTGTTAGTCTATGTTGACACCTTTTAGCTACAAGCCATAAATATGTGCTACTTGGGCAATTTACAACTGATCCATTAGAAAAAGAATTTAGTAAACATTGTTAAGGATCAGAGGCAGTTATTTTATAAATGTCCAACAGTTTATTGAAAAGCTGGATATTAAACAGACATCTTTACTTTTAAATCAAAATGTAAATATTGATGCTTTTGATGTACATCTGAAGAGTTCAAGTGCAAAATGTAATAAATCCAATTTCTTGAAACTGAAAAAAAAAAAAACAAAATTTAGCTCAAATATGGTCGGTTAAGACCCACTTTTTTTCTTTTCTTAAACATTTGACTAAAAAGACAAAAATTTTCAAATCTAGAATTTGACTGTAAAAGTGTACTTTAATTGAAAGCATATTCTTTTTTGCAAAATCCGATAAATCTACAAAATGTTTGCAAAATCTCATAAATCCATGATGTCTGTATAAATTATGTTTGTACTTAAAATAACTACTTAAAATATTGATAAAAAAAAGAAGACAATTGTGATAAAGTGTAGACATATGCAGAGGTATCACCAAAAGTGTGATGTGGGGAGAATCTAAAGATTATATCTCTCAACTACAGACCTGAAAATTAGGGGAAATTTTTCAGATTATTTTTTTTATTTGTACTGTTTCTGAATGTTTTCTAGCCTCCCCTAATGTCTAAATCTGTCATAGATATCGGGTTTTGCAATAAATCCTGTATGGTGCTTATTGTGTTTTGCAACAAAACAGATTTTTGAAGGCAAAAAATTAGGGAAAATATCACAATATGTAAAAAAAATAATTTTGATAAATACTATAAAAGAAAAATAAAATCATTTTTATGCTTATTTCTGAGTTTCATTTTTTCAACATGGAGAGAAAGCTCATATTTTTGCAAATATAGTTTTGAAAAAAATTGCAAACATTACATACCCAGCTCAGACAAATCACCAGCTTTAAAGGTTTTGAAACTTTCCTAGAATGATTTTGTTTTATCTGTCTATATTTCTGAGATTGTCTTATACACATCTTGGCTGATGCCCTCCAGGTACTTGCTTGTTGAACCTGGTAACTTTAATGGAAATTTGAACTGGACTCTATTCAATCTTTGTGGGTATATTGAATAAAGGGTTTGGTGAGATCTATAAATAGTGTGAATGTTTGTTTCAACATTATGTGGATCATATCTTTCACCAGAAATCTTAACTACCTCTTTGCTTTCAGTGTCCACAACAAAAATATTTTCATTTATTTAACTTTCTATTATCCTCAGGTATGGGTCAAAATGTCATTCTAAGTATTTTCAAAAATAGTTAACTTAAACTTTCTGAAAATCAAACATTTTCCTATAGGCCTCCAGTTCTGTCTCCCGGTTGCGCCATGATCATGCCATGGTTACCACTCAATATCTTTTATTTTTTATGATTTTTAAGCAACTATATTATATTATTTTGAAAATTTGTTTTTATTTGTGTTATCTATTGTTTTAAAATTTTTGAAACATATGTTTAGTATGTATAAAATTTTTGTTTTGATACATTTTTGTCATATATTCTTTCTTCAGCCACCCAAAAGAAAAACCTTTATACCTCTGTGTGCAAGGTCCAACACAAGAATCTGTTGATAGTAAGTATATAAAAACAAAAACTAGAAAACATGATGATTTAGTTATTTATAATAAAATAAATCACTGCTCATAAAAAAATGATCATCCAACTTCTTTTTTCTTTGTTTAATAATGATGATCTTTATAGATCTTCCTTTTTAGAATGTAATCTTTATAGATCTTCCCTTTTAGAATGTAAAATTGAATTAATATGTATAATTAAGATTTATATTACACTTATCACTTGATGTTGATATGATAGAATAACCTGTCACCCCCATGAGTGACTACAATATAGGTAGTAACTACCCATAAGTATCTGTAAGTCAACGGACTACAGAGATTAGCTGAAATCTTTTTCAGCTGTACTGTCAAACTCTCTGCCTTTGGGAAGAGAGGAACCCGGATGAGGCTATTCTGAAGGGCAGTCTCGTTCGGGGGAAAGTAGACAGACCCAATCCCGTTTATGCAGGGTCTACAGGGATTTTTTGGCTGAGCCTACAGGTTCAGGAACCCCACATTAAATTCGGCCTTGTGCCACATGTGACTGTGGTAAATAGTGACTAGCTGGAATCTGTTGACTTAGTGGATTTACGTCTATTTTGTCCAGTGAAAGTTTGGAATTGCCTTTGAAAGTGAACTGTCAAGTTTATTTTTGTAACTTTTGCAAATTTTTGAATTTTCCTTTTTTGTTTGTGTGTATTTGTTTTCATTTCTGCACTTTTTTTTTTCCTTATTGTATTTTTACCCTCCCCATTTTTGTTTTTATTACTGTTTTCGTTTGAATTTGTTGTTTTTATTCAGTTTTTAGTTTTTATGTGCTTTTCATTTTTATTTTCCATGTTCTTGGTTGATTTGTTTTTTTGTTTAATTCATTGTTTAAAAAGTATATGGCGAACTTTCATTTGTTCAGCCATGGTGGGTTGAAACCCCCATGGCAGAAAATTTAGAGACTTCACTACCGCAAACAAAAAATTTGGCACAGAACTTTTTTGGCACAAAAACAACTGCCTGGGTAGAAAATAAAGGCATGAAAATTACAACGAGCAGAAAGAAAAAATATGAGAAATATGTCAAAGGGACTGAATTTTTGACAATACTGGAAGCACTAGATGCGGTGAATGGAAGAATAATTTCCCTGCTGACCTACGATGTAAAGAGTCGGAAACTGATTGTAATCAACAGGGAAACGATGGAATTGATTTTTAAAAAAAAAAAAAAAAAAAAAACTCAATATTGCATCGAAAGTCTTGGCTAGGAGAACCAATGCCTTTTTGGACATTCTCCTAGCTACAGAACAGGAGGCAAAACAGCTGGCCAGAAGTGTCCTGGCAACTTCAGTTTTATGACTCCAGACGTAGTACATGGGCACCCAGCGGACCAAAATCACTGTACATGGGATCTCCGTGGACATTTGCCCAGACCCAATAGGGTCCTTTTTTGCAAAATATGGGCTAGTGGAGTAGGTAACCTCTGTAATCAGTAAGACTGGAATTGCAACCGGTGACATGTTTTTGCAGGTGACGCTAACCAGTCAAGCCTTTGGGGAAATCTCAAATGTCTTGCTATGCTGGGACAGGCGGATGCTGGTGGTGGTCGAGGGACAAAAGCCATACTGTTGGTCTTGCAGTGTGTCTGGGCACATGTCCAAGGCATGCCCAGGTAAGAATTTGCAACCTCCACCCTGCCCAACAACAACAACGATGACAAAAACAGCAACAGCATCAATAACTGTGGCAGCAGTAGTGACAGCAGCATCATTGGAAAAGGCACCTGACAAGGAGTGGACAGTAGTGAAAGGAGAAAAACATGCCCTCTCCCCCAACACGGGATGTGCAGTCTCCAGATCAGGAGCAGTCAAGAGGTGCAGCCGAAATGAAGTCTTGGGAAGCAGGAAAGGCAGCTGTGGGAGTGGCCAAAAGAGGCGAAACTTAAGGAGGCGCACAACAGCCCTGGGAAGCAGGTCAAGCAGCTGCAGAAGTCTTCACTGGGGGTCCAAAAGGAAAAACAACCCCCGAAACAGCAGCAACAGGGATAAAAGGAACAACCAAATACATAGATGGATGTGGAGGAAATGCCGCACAGAAACAGACACTCCACATGAAGCAGGGCAGACAAATATATGGAGAAAACTAGGTTAAATTCCATCCCTGCATTGCCTAGAGGAAAGAAAGTAAGGAGCCTCCCTATGTCCCCTTTCCGTGTTCCATCCCCCTCTTCCTCCTCCTTCCTTCAGTTCAGTCTCCACACCCCGCAGGCGTCCACTTTTTAGGGCAAAGCAGAAAAAGGCGAAGAAAAAAAAAAAATTTCCTTGGCCTGGAGGCTATATGTAAAGTGGACAAGACCTGGAAAAATGTTTATCAAAACAAAAGAGGGCTTTGCTAGGGATGCTAATTAAAATGACCTTGGTGGACGGCATGTCCATAGAGGCTTCCTGCAATTTCCCAAGTGCCCGTCGAGTCATAACTTGTGTAAGCTACCTCAGAGTTTGGACTCATTTATATGAAGCAAAGGACACTTTCCTGAACATAAGGATGTTCGAATTAGACACTCTGTTGTTACGAAAACTAAGACATTTCTGTGCTGGGAGGGTCCCCGTCATACTCCATCCCTCCTTATATAGGGTGGTTAGATTGACCTACCCCATGGATGTCGGCGGAATTGTCCTACATGAGTTAGGTGTAGGGGGCATAGGACAATCTGTCAGGGTCATTTGTGATGCAGGTTTCTGCCTAGTATGCGAATGAGGTGATTGTTGTTTTTTCTAATTCAGGTCTAAATTATGTCAACTATGATAGCCAGTCTGAATGCGAAGGGCTGGAGGAATCATGATAACACAGCCCGCCTGCTCCGTGACCTCTTGTCATTTAGAGTGGATGCTTTGTTTTCAGCTTCAATGCGTATGTGCTGTTTAACAACTTCGTCGTCTATTCAGTATATGGGGACTGACATGCCAGAGGAGTTTCTTTGCTGGTTAGCTGTACCCAGGATGCGATGGTGGACCTTGTTCATGTCGATGCCAAGGGCCAGTTGATTGTCGCTAATATTGCCATGAAAAGTGGTTCATTGCGGTTTATGTGCCCAATGACCGGGAGAAGCGGGTCTAGTTTTTTCGGCAGTTGGGGCCATTCATGGTGGATTCGATATGCTTAGTTTTCTGACAGTGGCATTTTGAAAGCCAGTTTACCAAGGAGCCTGGTCTCTGTGATGAGGAGTTTTGTAGCTATTTGCCTGACTTTCCTCGGCTTTTGCCGACTGAAGCGGCTAGCTGCGAGTGAGAGATCACAGAAGGCGAAGCATTGAAGAAGGTCGGCAGAGGCAAGTCGCCTGGTCTGGTTTGCCCTATGAATTGTACTTGAGGCTGTTGCACATCTTTGTCCGATTTTGACTGTCATGTTTAACAAATGGTTCTGTCAGGGGTCTGTCCCCGACTGGTTCATCAGGAATATGATCACACCTTTTGAAAAAAGGTGTTGGGCGGGATTTAAATTTTTATATAGGCCCATAACTCTGCTAAACACAGAGTTAAAGATTTTGGCCAAGATCCTGCAGGAGCCTTTGCAGTCAGTTGCTGAGTCTTTGTTGGATTCAGAGCAGACATGCGCTGTGAAGGGCCGAACAATTCAGAGCAACCTGCATTTGATCCACATGATCTTCTGCTGCTGGATTAGCCTTCTGTATCATTCCCCCAGTGGTGTGGTACAGGTGAATGGGAAGCTGTTGGATGCTTTTGCACTGTCTTGGTTGGTTTGTCAGGGTTGTCCACTGTCGCTCCTACTTTATGCTTGGCGTTGGAGCCTCTGCTTCACCAGCTAAGGGACAGGGCGTGCACTCTGGCCCTATGTGGAATTGCTGTCCCTTGAGGGGCTCAAGCCAGGGCTTTTGTGTATGCTGATAATGTATCTACTTTCGTGTCGTCCCGCAGCGACAATGAGGTGGTACTGAAGGCACTTGAACAGTACGAAAAGGTGACAGGGGCCAAGATTAACTGCAACATATGGCTTGCAGTTAGGTGCCTGGAAGGGGGTTCAATCTTCCAGGGCACTTTGGTTGGATGGATGGTCCTGTGTGGTTTGGACCCAAGCTCCAGCTGGACAAAAATTGGTCTGAAATACAGGCAAAGGTCGTTGCGGCCAGTCAGACTTGGCGTCGACAGAGGTTGTCTGTGAAGGGAAGGGTGGAGGCGTGTGCCACTTACGTCTTTCCTGTTGTCCTTTATCACTTGTCTGTACTTCCTCTCTGTAAAGATCATAAGGTGCTCGAGCGTTTGCTATCCTCCATTTTATGAAGAGGACACAAGCATGAAGTCGATAGAGAAGTCTGAGCACAATGTCTGGGAATGCTACACATGTCAATTCACAAGCTCGCTTCGAGGCTGGCTTTCCTACGCCGCTCATTGACAGACGATTCGATTATGGCGGGGATTGTAAGGGGCGCCTTCCCTTTCCTTACTATCAGTCCCCTCATCTTGTGAGTTGAGTGCCGTTGTAAACCCCGGGATCAATTGGAATTCCATCGCAAATGCCGATATGCCTTGACAGTCATTCCTTGGTCCAGTGATCTTTTTCAGCCTCGGAAGGTCTTCTATTGTCAACTAGAGGAGGGAGTCATGAAGGATCCTCTACATGAGCAGCTCGACTTGCCGGAGGAAGAGTTTCACTCTTTCTGGTCTTGGGCACCAGCTGTGGATTACCTCAGTAACCCTGAGTTTTTGCTTACTTGGAGACTTGGTTCAGAATAGGCTATCTCTCTATGACAGGGACTTCATATGGGGCTTGACGGATTTGCCAGACTGTGAACGATGAGACCTTGGCCTGAAAAGCTTGTGTTCATTGATCGCGCATACACATGTGACAATGTGTTGTCCCCGTATTTTGAGGTGAAATGAATGCTGTCCACGGCTCAAATGTTGATTTGGACGATGTGACAGGAGGCAATCGCCTTTCTTGTCAGGATTTGATCTGATTCTTTGAGCATCAACTCAAGATGAAGATTAGAACTGATAGAAAACACTTGCATTCGACAGACCTTAGTGAAAGGTGGGTGACTGAGGCAAGCTTGGTTTGTGTGAAAGGGGCTAGCCTTGATTTTCTTTTGTAGGTCTGTCTGGTTCGCATCAGCATGGTTTCCTGTGGAGCCCTCCCCTGGTTAGGTTAGACAAGCTTTGTGTACCTAGTTAATGTGAGTAACTGTTGTTACCGGCCTGCTCCCGGCTACATCTTGCGTTATGATCCAAGTTGAGATTTCTTTTGGCCCCCTTTCATCTTAACTGGGTCAGATTTATTTATTTCCCATGTCCGTATATATTTTCTCCTTTCCCTTAGAGAGAGAACCTCTTGATTCTGTCGTAGGGCAGAATACAGCAGCTTCTCTTTTTTGAGGGTTGGACGGGTCCTACTAACATCAGTTATGTTTATTTTGATTTGTTTTGATATTTAGTTTGTTTTTGGGTTCATCCCCTCCCCTCTCATCGTCAATCATTAGATTTTTATGTATGAAATATTTATTATCATTAAATTTTTATATCATGTAGTGTGTTTTGTAGGTCCTTCTGAGAGGGTGCAGCATTATGGTGTATGGAGAATTGATTGGTGACGGACGAGTTTTTGTGATGAATGCGCAAATTGTAATGAGTTAGTGGGTCATGAGTTGGATTAGCTTGGTATAAGAGAGTGAAGACCAGCCTCAACCCTTTTCCCCTTTTTGGCCTTGTGCCATAATTGTGTTTTATACAAAAACTATACTAGCTGGGATCTGTTGAGTCTGACTCAGAATTATGTGAGAACTACCGACCTTCCAGTAGTAGCACTCACTACTGGATTGACTTGCGCAACCTTGTGCATAACTGTTACCTTTCTTCTTATTGTACTGTTTTTTTTCTATAAACCTTTACTTATTTTATCCACCTTGTTTTTCAAGTATATATTCATATTAGCATGGAATATAACATCAGTAATTTTTTCTGTTTACTTCTATCCCTCTCTATGCTAGTATCATTTATCCCCCCATTTTTATGTCCTATTATACTTTTTTCATAAGTAATTTCTGTTTTACCAATGACTTTCAGATGCTGTTCTTCGCATTAATGAAATAATTGCCAGTGGGCCACGTCCAAAAGGTAGTCGATTCTCACCTGTTGTTCGTCCTCCAGGCAATTTACCACCAGGTGTACGACCGCCACCCATTAATCAGCCACCTCCAACTATAATGTCTTTCACCCCACAGCCCCAGGGGGTAAGAGCAAATAGTCTTATTGTTTATGAAATTGTTATTTAGGCCAAAGTGTATTATGTCCATATGGCAAAAAATATGCAGTGTTTTAGTATTGTTATATTTTTATTCTGTATTTATATAACCATAAATCTTTAAGAGTAACCATATAAAAACCTAAAGCTCTGGAGTTTTAAGTTTCTATATGCTTCATGTTTTAAAACTTATTCTGGCTGCAGAACCTCCTTAAAGCATTAAATAAATCATGTGAAGCATAATATGTAAAATAAACTTGTCAGTTAATTTTATAAAAGAGTTGCATGAAATGAGAAACCTAAAAACATTTTATTGGTACTAGTAAAGTCAAACCAAACTAGGAATTTTTTTTTATTTTTTTATTATAATTGACTGGTATATAGAATTGATATTAAAATCTTTTAAATGCAAGACTCAATTTCTTTATGAACATGAATTTAAATATATGAAAGAAATAATTGTCACTAATATATTTCCAATTATGGTGTAATGTTTGTTTATGTATTTAATCAGCTAAAGACATTAATTTCTATTTATAAGTATTGCCTTTTATTTTTTATAACTTTGTTTCCAAAATAAAGTACCTCCACAGCTTATTTTTTTTAATTATTTTTTTTAATTCTAATTGCAATATACTAGGTGTGGTAGCACCTGTTAGGGTCCCAGTTATGGGCAAATAGTTAATATTACCAGTTTTTTGACTATTACCAGCAATACAATTTTGAAGGAAATATATTAAAAACAGATTTTTGACAAAACAAAATATTACCAGCAATAAAAATTTTGGCAGCATTAAATAACCCATTGAGGTTGATATGCCATAAAACAAAATAAACCAAACCAATCTAAACAATAATATACTCTATTCATACGAATCTATCCTAAAAATGTTGTCGGCATTAAATAAACTATTGAGGTTGATATGCTGTAAAACAAAATAAACCAAACCAAAAATTATCCAGGGCTACTCCACTAAAAACATAATAACCCCTAAAAAGGAACCAATATGAGCTCATGCCTATTGCAAAAAAAATGAGTGTTGTTTTTTTAAGAAGGGTGATGGAAAACAAGTGAACACCAAGACAAATGTGAAATTTTACATTTTTTGGATTTAAACCTGAAAACAAAGCCTAGCTTAAGATCTTCAAATTGAATTCAAAAAGGACTTATTACCAAAGATAACAGCCTACAGAAGAATATGAAAAAATCTATTGCCAAGATACATAACACCAACAGAATAATCATCAAATACAATAAAACTGGCAATCTATTTTTATATAATATGGTTGACTACCACAAGGCCATTTTTCAAGGAAGTTAACAAAGTTTATATGAATTTGTTCAAATGAATAGGAGAATGATATCAACAGTGAGGCATGATTGACAGCCAAAAAAAAAAAGATCGCCCACAGGGTACAAAACTCCACAAATAACAGGCTTTTTTTACAGTTAAATGGACCATAATAGTAATTTGCCAACAGCCCACAGTTTTTTGCAACCCCTAAAAATTACATGGGCAAGATCATCAAAGACATTTGAACGAGCCTGTTTATTACCAGGAATGCAACAGGGAACAACTAGTGGAGAAATATAAAAGAATCTATAAATTGGTTCACTAATATTAAAAATAAAAGCCTGTAATTTTAATGAAAACAACAATGCAATTTGACATATCCAACTTTTTTCAAGTCAATCAAAGAAGACCTACTTATAGCTGCTATAAACCTGGCTAAGAATTATTGCACCATTACTGACATGGATATCAGCATAATCAATAATTGCCCTAAAAAGCCACCTTTTACCACAATGGTTCTCTATGGACCAAAAAGACAATACCAACTTCTTTATAATGATGGGCGCATTATCGAAATTCATGGAATTTTATGACCTAGTAGGCATACTATTACTATGGAGGCTTAGGTATATTTTCAATTGAGAACACTGAACTGTAGAGGGATGACAGAGAGATCCTTCTATGTAACTCCATGCCACAAAACTTACCAGAAATTCATCTTCAAAAAATTGGCAATTTAAAAAAATACTTAATAAACAGAACTATTTCATGTTTACCTGTATCCACAGGAAATCATTTCTCCTAAAATACTGGAAGCCAGATTAAATTAATCTTTTTATTAAATTAATCTTTTTTCATTATATATTTTCCTTTTTTTAAGCATTAGGTTCCACAATTGTTACCTCCCTTTAACCTGGCGAGCATTACCATATCTTCAGTAGACCAGCATCTCCAGTTTTAAAAAAAAAGAAAGAGATTTCAAAATTTGAAATTTCTCCTTATTTATTATTTTTTAATTTCTTTTTTTTTTAAATGAACACTACCTACAATTTATTATCTGCATTTTTGTTCTATTTTATTTTTCGCCTTTGAAACAGGGTTTTTCCCATGTGACATCTGTTTATTTTTTTATAAAAACAAGATACATTTTGTGCCCAATGACCTGGAAAACCAGAGAAACTTAAGTTGCACACCTAAACGTAGGTATTTGAATATGTATATATTTAATATAATCTTTGTAAAATCTAGCTACATTGAGCACTCTTATGTTTACACCTCATGAATAAATTTGATTATTATTTATTTACTTGCCTGTCTATGCACACCAACATATATGTATACGGTTGTTTATATCTGATTGTTTAATTTATCCATATATATATATATATATATATATATATATATATATATAAATATAAAAATAAAATTTACTATATTTATGGAGGAAAAGTGCTCAGTATAGAGTGTAGATACTTTTATGCTTTACACAACGCAGGAATCAACATTGCATAGAGATACCAGTTTTCACACATCAAACATGGTCTGAAGATCTATATATGGAAAACTCCTTTTGTGACATGTTTAATTCCAAGAAGGAATAATAAGTGGCTTATATTGATGAAAAAATTTTATATAAAAATAGTGGGAGGATGAGGAAATTTGAAATAAATGCCAATTACATTTTACATAAAAATGCTAAAAATACGTAGATGATCATGTTTAAATTTTGGCATCTGATATATTCAGATATTTAAAGCCTCCCTCTCATTCAATTTTTGTTTTTTTTTTGATGTTAAGAATTTTTCTCATTTTTCATTTATTTACACACTAATTATATATATATATATATAAAGCTTTTTTAAATACAGAATTTGCAAAAAAAAACATGTTTCTAATGATGTCAAACTAATAAATTGGGGGGGTAAAAAATTCCACCATATTTTTTTGCTGTTGCTATTCTGTTCTCCTCTTCGTTTCAGGGTTTTTTTTTTGGTTTTTTACAGTTCGTCATTTTGAAAATATTTGTAATCCATTCCAGGAATAATAATGACCATGCCAATATCGGTTAAAAAACCCCCTACCCGGCAGAAAAAATGCAATGACATTTTAATGAAGAAAATGTTTAAACATAGACTGAAGAAGTGGTAATAGAAATGGGCTACTTGTTAAAGTTTTTTTGTAAAATCAGAAACCATCTGGGGACAATTGTTCTCCTTGTGTTTCTGACACACAAATATATATATATATATATATATATATATATATATATATATATATATATATATATATATATATATATATATATATATATATATATAAATTGTTATAAATTGTTTTCCATATGGCTGAATTGGTTTAAAATTTTGCATCCTGACCATGAAACCTGCGTTTTAAATCTCACCATGGCCCGATTTGTCAGAAAATGAAAAACTTCTTGGTGTTATCAGTCTGGGGAGGTGAACCCAGCATGCGGCACCTTTCAAAAGTGCCTGAAAACCATTCCATGGGTTGACCAAAATCATTATGAGTTTTTTGGGTAGATAGAATCCTTGGGTGTTGTCAATAAAAAAAATCTAGCACAAAGTCCCCAGTCATCGTGACTGTGGGCTTGAACCTGCTGGCCTTGTTTCAAATTGTTGATCATGCCAGATAACACGCTTGCTCCAGAAAAATGTAACTAAGGTCTGCTCAGCATAGTTGCAGCATAAACCACAGGTGGCTCTGTGAGTGTTGAATAAACACAAATTTTCCTGAAAAAAGATCTGCAAATAGGGACTGGTTAACCGCCCTAGAAGACGGGTTTCCTTGATAATATAAAATCAGCTATAATCATTAGTTTTTTATATAATTTAAGAGGGTGATGAAAAATTTTGATAACACTTTAAAAGAAATGGATTGATTTTTCATTGTATCAATATTATAAACTTTGTTTTTTTAGAAAAATCTCAAAAAAAAAAAAAAAAAAAATTCAATATTTTTTTTTTTTTGACTAACAAATGTCATGGACTAAGGATGATTAAAATAATGTTAATCTACAAAAATTATTTCCTAAATTTTTTCCAATTTTTTTTGTGTAGACCAGTATATTTAAATACTGGCCTTATAATAACCAGATCTCATCCAAAATAAAATTTAACCTTCTTTTCTGTCACAACCATCAGAACATAGGTGATCATGGCTCTCCACAACTTTCTATCTAGTGTGACTCCTAGCAGTTTTTCTCTCTTTGAAAATGTGCCCAACCTCTCCATTCCACCATCCATTCAAACAAGATCATTGGGTAAAGGCTCACTTTTTTCCTATCTCTCTGCCCACACTATGCTCTGTGAAGTCAAGTTTTCAAAGACCTTCTTCCACATTATGTGTCCAAGGAATTTCAGCTATCTTTTACTGATTCTGAGTATGTATTCTTTCTTTGCCATTTTCTTTTAAGGCTTCCTCATTGCTTAAAAATCACTTGTCCAATGGAATTTTCAGTATCCTTCTGTAGAATCACATTTCTGCTGCCTCAAATGGGGTAAATGTTCAACATTTCCATTCTCTCAGTACCTTGCTTAGATTTTGAATGCTTTTTTTTTAGTCCAATGTATCTTTGGATCTTGGTGTCACAGTGTCCATCCACTGTTAAAACATTTCCAAGATATTTGAACTTCTGTTATTGCTTGATGTTTATATCTTCAATTTTTAATTGAAT